ATCTATTATCGATTGCTGTTACTCCTGGGAACGGGAAAAGCTAGAAAGCTGAAACTTCAAGAGAATGTCCCCTACTCATGTACGAGCAATATCAGGTGTTTAGAAGCGCCCGAGTCCACATACGGTCTTTCCTTGCCTTTCGGTTAGGGTATTTGCGTTGTGCTGTATTCTCAGAGACAACGTCATGGATTATCACGAAATTTCTTGCGGGGTTTGATTTGGATAGGAAGAAAAATAAGCCAAAAATAAACTGAAAAAAAAAACAACAGCTTATTCTTGATTTTACCGAGAATCGTTGGACTTTTCGTAAAAGATCGAGTCAGTGAAAAAAAAAACTGGCGCAAGTCAATATTCGAAAATCAAAATTCCACAAAAGGGCATTTTTTCAAGTTTTTGGGGAAGCAAAAAAATGAACATCAGCAAAAAAAGAGTGTTTCCTTCCTGCCCTCATATCTGTGCAGAAAAAAGATATCTTTCCATTTTTGAAAGTGTTTTCTGAGTGAATGGCTCGAGAATGAGCAGGAAATTTATTTCAGCCCCTGTCGTCCATCACCCTCAGTTGCTAACGGTAGCGAAACTGAATCATCGGCTCAACAATCTGCCGATTCACAGGCCAAGAAATTGAAGCCATCTTCTGCTTTCTTATCTTCGCTAGATGACAGTTCTCGGAAACTGGTCGAAAGAATTATGGCCGAAGTTGAGGTTACAGCGTTCTTTTTTTTCTCGCTCTGATCTATCTTATTCACCTCCATTTTATTCCCTTTCTTTTAAACCCTTACTTTTTACATGAACACACATCATCAAAAATTAAAATTACAACTGAAGTATTTTTGAAGGAAATTAAAGCAAATTTAAATTACAACTGGCCAGAATTTTTCAATTTTACAAATTTTCGAGAATTTAAGCCACAGTTAGCCGAGATTTCTTAGTCCGATCGTTCGCGTTAGCTAATTATTGCAGTTAACCTTTCGAACAAATAGTCAAAAAGAGCGTTGAGTGGAACGGTTTCTGTGAACGGAAACACATTTTTAGATAATGGAATGGATGATGCCGCATCCACCAACTGTGCTCGAAGATAAGCAGTGGAGGAAGTTGATGCAAATTGAGAAGACCGAAGATCGGGTGGCTTATCTGCGGGCCTATGCCAGAGATGTGTTCCGTGATGGCCTCCGTGAAGAGAAAAGGAAGGCGCTTGGTGAAGCACACAATGCTATGCTCGATTTTCAGGTACTCTTCAGACTTCTGCTCTCCCAAACACATGTTTTTTTGCTGCTCCTGTTGCTGCTGCTGCTGCT